AATAGATACAACGATAGCTTATCCCAAAGCTGAACCTATAGATATTCAAACCTGGATCCTTGGATACAGGAAACCAACAGTCACACATGTACATTACAGGTAAGAATTCTATATTAGTACTCAGAATATATTCAACAATACTATTTTACGACAGTGGGAATATTTAGTTTTTAATCTTACCCAGTAGAAATAGTTGGCTCAAGTTCATTTTTATGCCGCATTTTTAATATTAAAATCTCATTTGAAGTAGCTATTTCACTCGGTGATAGAGACCTCTAAAAATTGTATTCTAAAGGCACTGTGATTACTTGGTTGCCTGACACTTTTCAGTAAAAGTTAACTTAAAGGGCAAACATCAAGAATAAATATATACTCACTTGGTTAAGAAGGTATGTATTAATAGAGATGCTACGGAAAAGGGCATCTGATCCAGACCCCACGAGAAGTTCTTGGATCTTGCGCAAGAAATAATTCAGGGTGAGTCCATAAAGTGGAAGCAAGTTTATTAGGAAAGTAAAGGAATAAAAGAATGGCCACTCCATAGATAGAGCAGCCCTCAGGGGTTGCCCATTTTTATGGTTATTTCTTGATGATATGCTAAATAAGGGGTGGATTATTCATGCCTTCCTTTTTAGACCATATAGGGTAACTTCCTGACATTGCCATGGCATTTGTAAACTGTGATGGCGCTGGTGGGAGCATAGCAGTGAGGATGACCAAAGGTCACTCTTGGTGGCCATCTTGGTTTTGGTGGGTTTTAGTGGCTTCTTTACTGCAACCTGTATTATTAGCAAGATCTTTATGACCTGTATTTTGTGCTGGCCTCCTGTCTCATGATGTGACTTAGAATGCCTTAACTGTCTGAGAATGCAGCCTAGTAGGTCTCAGCCTCATTTTACCCAGCTCCTATTCAAGATAAGAGTTGCAGCCGGGCGCGGTGGCTCAAGCCTGTAATCCCAGCACTTTGGGAGGCCGAGGCGGGTGGATCACGAGGTCAAGAGATCGAGACCATCCTGGTCAACGTGGTGAAACCCCATCTCTACCAAAAATACAAAAAATTAGCTGGGCATGGTGGTGTGTGCCTGTAATCCCAGCTACTCAGGAGGCTGAGGCAGGAGAATTGCCTGAACCCAGGAGGCGGAGGTTGCGGTGAGCTGAGATCGCGCCATTGCACTCCAGCCTGGGTAACATGAGTGAGACTCCGTCTCAAAAAAAAAAAAAAAAAAAAAAAGAGTTGCTCTGTTTCAGACACCTCTGACAGAAATTAAATTTGTTTTTAAATCGTTAATCCACATAAGATTTTCTGAATGATTAAATTGGTAATTTAGCTATGACTTACACTTTTAAATTGTTAATATTTTAATATGTCTGTCATTTGCATAAACAGTAGCAAAAACATTTATTGAAATCTGTGCTAGCTTTTTTCAAATGTAATTTTTTTAAGGAATTTATATAAATAAGATAGGTATTTATATGAAGCACAGGCTGATAAGGCCTGTTTGGTTTTGATGACTTTATAGGCCTTTTAGCCTTACTGTGTTTCCATGTGAAAGACCTCAACCCATGGCGACTACCTTACAAAGATGAGGAATTGGTCCTAAGCAAGATCACAATTGCTACAAAATCCCTCAATTCTAGAGGAAAACAACTCAAATTATATACCCATTGATAGTATATAGGTAGCATATTTTTATATGTGTAAACCATCAGAGTTTTGTTAATACAAATATAAGTACAGAGTTGGAAGAATTTGAATGAAACTTAAATTCTGATATTTAAAATTACATAGTCATAGTTGGGGTTTTTGATGTGTGAGGGATGACTATAAAATTACAGTTGATTCTGGTGTGTGGCTTACATTGAGTAAGGTAGGAGTGTAATTCTTCATGTCTGTTTTCTGACTCCTTTCCACAGGTTGTCCCTTTTACTTAAGTTATTGAGGACTTATTATGTATAAGGCAATGTGCTAGGCTCTGGAAGAAATTGCTCTAGGAACAGTTTTATTTCCACATGTGTGAAACATAGCAAACCTTCAGTAAGTTTTTAAATTATAATCTTTAAATAAAGGACAATGTTAATGCCCAAGCTAGGAATCTGGCTGTTGGATGTATGACTGACTGTATGTGCACTTGATACACGTGCATTGGATGTATGTAGATCTTCCTAGCAAATCATACCCAAAAAAGAACAGATGAGGAAGAAAACATTCTGTTGTATAGGCAGTCTAGTATAGGTAACCCTGCTTTTCTCTTTTAGTCAATAACTAGAGGAAATTTTAGTTTATAGATAATCAGGAAAAAATGAATCATAAAGGATCATGGAAATGGAAGAAATGGCCCACTTATAGCAAGATTACTTTAACAGCCTCTTAAATTCACTTGAGGTTGGGCGCGGTGGCTCACGCATATAATCCCAGCACTTTGGGAGTCCGAGGCAGGCAGATCACAAGGTCAGGAGTTCAAGACCAGCCTGGCCAACATAGTGAAACTCCGTCTCTACTAAAAATACAAATATTAGCCGGGTGTGGTGGCACACGCCCATAGTCCCAGCTACTTGGGAGGCTGAGACAGGAGAATCGCTTGAACCTGGGAGGTGGAGGTTGCTGTGAGCCATGACTGTGCCATTGTACTCCATCGTGGGTGACAGAGTGAGACTCTGTCTCAAAAAAAAAAAAAAAAAAATTTACTTGAAACAGAGGTTCTTATGCTGGGGCTCATGGATAGACCTCAGATAATTTTTTAACTGAATATGTGAAATTTTGAGAATGTTTATACTTTTCTACAGAGAAAGTTCATAGCTTTCACTCTATTCTCAAAATTATATATGACCTCATAAATTAAGGACCCCTGACTTAGAGATGAAAACCCCATAATAGATAGAAGATGAGGAATGGTCAGTTTGATACAGAAAAATACTTTCTAATAAAGAAAATCAATGTGTTAGACTACTACAGATTAAATCATACGATAATCATACTCCATGATAGTAAAGTACAAATTATGCCTGATTATTTATGAATATACACATACATACAAGCCCTACGAGTCTTGAGACAGGTGAGGAGAATACTTTTCTTCCCAGGAACTGATATTCTTGTCTAACCAATGTTAGGGGAGAGGAAGGACCTGTGTTCAGAAATGGAGAACAAATGAAAAGGGCAAGAAAGAACAGAGGTGTCTTGGTGTCAGGATAGTACTGTGGTTTTGCAAGAAGCTTGTGAGAGAGGATGTGGGCCATGTCTTTAGCAGCTTCCAGGAATAGTCTCTATCAACCATAGAGTGACTTCTCATGTACTGTTCTTGGCCATCAGGACACCATGGAGCATAGGGAAAGAAAGAGTGGTTTTAATTCAGACTCTTCATTCATTGGGTTATATTTTAAAATTTTTAAACAAGGAAAAGATGTTTCCAATTAGAATAAAAGTTTTTAAATACAGCATTAGAAATCACATTATATATAAAAATGTGAATAATATAAATGAGGTTAGATCCCTTCCTTTTTTAATGTGAGGAGATTGGCAAGAAAAACTGGATAGTATCAACTGCTTAAAGTGGGGAATGGGTACCCAAAACATAAGAAAAGGTTGTCTGGAAACTATAAAGCTCACTAAAAAACAGTAGTTTTGTTTAGTGTTGGCTTGCTTATCTTCACCTATAGGCAGATTTGAAAAACTATTAATGAAGGTTTTTTTTTTTTTTCCCTGCAGTTAAGCATAATTTCTCCAGAACTCTAGAACTATTAATCCATATGGTGCCAGCCAATTTTGTTTCCCGTGATGTAGAAAGGATTTGTTTTTGTCTTAGCAGACTTAAAAAGATAAATAAATAAAGCAGCCCTGTTTCTTGAGAATTAATTGAAGTGATCACTTAGTGAGTATGGTATATAGCTGGGCAAGTCAGTACTATTGCTAGTTTTTTTGTTTGTTTTTGTTTTTGTTTTTTATTGTTGGTTTTTTTTTTTTTTTTTTTTTTTTTTTTGAGACACAGTTTCATTCTGTTGCCCAGGCTAGAGTGTAGTAGCACAATCTCGGCTTACTGCATCCTCTACCTACTGGGTTCAAGCAGTTCTCCTGCCTCACCCTCCCAAGTATCTGGGATTACAGGTGCCTGCCACTGTGCCTGGCTAATTTTTGTATTATTAGTAGAGATGGGGTTTCACCATGTTGGCCAGGCTGGTGTCAAACTCCTGAGCTCCAGTGATCTGCCTGCCTCAGCCTTTCAAAGTGCTTGAGCCACCGAGCCTGGCCTGTTGCTAGTTTTTTAGTGTAATTTTGAGGAATATGACATATGACAGTCAGAAAGTAATTATCCCATCCTGCTCAGCATTTATTAGATCCCACTTAAGTTATTTCATGTATTTTAATTTCTCCATTTTAAAAGAAATAGTTTAGTTGGTAAAATGTTATCAATAGAGCTGACAAACAAGCATCAGAAGCCTAGAGAGTTCTGTAATTTAAAAAAAAGAGCTAACATAGATAAATCTTAGAACACTAGTACCACTTAAAAGGCAGTTATTATGGATCAAATCAAAACAAATTCATAGGTAGTACTAATTAAATGAAACACAATTCTAAGACAAACTCCAAGTTGAAAGTTCGGATTAAGAGAAAGTTTAATAATTCATAAATACTAAATCTATAATAAGTTTCTATATATTTGAGATACTTTTATCATATTTTAGGTAGATTTCATAGAGGGCAATAACTGTGCTCTCACATGCAGTACATCTTGGTGACTGCTGAGAGCCACAAAATGTGGCTCTGGGTGGCTGGGTTATTATATTGTTATGCAATAGCATTCCTTACCATCGGAATTCACTTGGGAAACAATATAGTTAGCATAATTTATTTAACATTAATCAGTAGTTTGTCTATTTTATATATTTATTTATTTTGAGACAATCTCGCTACAACACCGAGACTGGAATGCAGTGGTGCAATCTCAGCTCACTGCAACCTCTGCCTCCTGGGTTCAAGCGATTCTCCTGCCTCAGTCTCCCGAGTAGCTGGGTTTACAGGCACCTGCCACCACACCTGGCTAGATTACATATTTCCATAATACATTTATTTTCACTTCTTATAAATTATAGTCCAGTATGCCAAATAAATTCCACTACCTGTTCTGTACCTCATTGAAACATAATATGACAAGCAAGTGTATAGAGATCACTGAACAAAAATGGCATTTTCCCACAGAGTAACTCCCTTCGTACTGTGTTAATAAGTTCTTTAAAAAGAAAAGTTCTTTATTTAAATAGAAAAAGAATATCTAAATTGCCAGAACGTGCAGCAGAATGTTTTTCTTGATTTGAAATTTCTGTACTGACACTTAGGAAAAAGCATAAGAATGTAATAATTTATTTTAAATACTCTGAAATAAACTATTTATTTCTTCCAATAATAGCAGTTTTCCAGATTAATTTACTACTCAGGCTTATGTTGGTTTTTGGGATTTCTAGAAGAGATGACATGTTATATATAAAACACCATAAAATACACGTTATTTTTATATAAAATACTACTTAACTACTTAAAATACCACATACATAAGAAAGTGAACATTTGTGGCAGAGTTATATACTAAAGCCTATCTCACAAATAGGTAGTATTGCTGTGTTTCAGAAGTTGAGCTTTTAGGGCATGTGTTTAGAGCATATTTCTCAGAAAACTTCTGGCAAATGATGATTAAGTGCCCAGGCAACTTTGCTAATGCTGGGACTCTGATGGCCAGAAGTTGCCCTGTCTTCGGCAGATGCATTGTTATGAATTGCAAATAATATACAGGTAAAAGAGTCTTTTAGGCTGTGCATGGTGGCTCGTACTAGTAATCCCAGCGCTTTGGGAGGCCGAGGTGGGCAGATCACTTGAGGCTAGGAGTTCGAGATCAGCCTGGCCAACATGGTAAAACCCCGTCTCTACCAAAAATACAAAAATTAGCCAGGCATAGTAGCATGTGCCTGTAGTCCCAGCTACTCAGGAGGCTGAGGCAGGAGAGTCACTTGAACCTAGGAGATGGAGATTGCAGTGAGCTGAGATCGCACCACTGCACTCCAGCCTCAGCAACAGAGCAAGACTCTGACTCAAAAAAAAAAAAAAGACTTAAAAAAAAACCCAAAACACCTTGTAAATATAAAGCACCATTATTAAGATACAGAAAGAATGATAGATTATTGATAAAACCGGTATTTATAAACCACCATTCTCCATATATTGGATCTCAGCCAATATATGGAGAATATCATCTTTAAGAGAAAAGATGCTTTTTAAAAAATTCATTTCTTACCAATATTATTGATGGTTTAGAGAAATATTTTTTATTAGTATGCATGCAGCTACATTATTGAACTTTTTCAAAAGTAATGCTTGTTTTAAAGGAACTAAGACTTACCTAATGGAAATATCTGAAAGTAAAGAACTTTCTCCTCCTCCTCTCCTCTTTATATTTCTATCAAACTGGAAGACAACTTGTTCCTACTAAGCAAGTAGTAGGCACAGTGCACTGCCATTCAGTGGTTAATAGGAAAATTAAACATGATTTGATTTAATTACAGGGAGAGTATTTATAGGGATAAAGGCAAAAGTAACATCTGTCCTTTAATATAAATGTCTGTTTCACTTCAATTAGGACAATGAGTTGGAGAAAATGATCCTTGTGCAGAAGTAGCTTATCTTTTCATGTTCAAAATCTTGAGAAATGATATAACCATAAGTGTAGTGGCATAGATAGATTACTAAAAGCAGAGGTATTGTTTTCATGTCGAAATTGATTAGGACTTTGGTTACTTGGGAGAAGGTATTCAACCATGAACTTTGGGAAATAACTTATTTTCAATTTGGGGAGGGGGGAATTAATTTAGAAAAAATATTTAATAGTTTTTAAAGATACATATGCTCTCTAGCAAGAGTAGACAAACATTAACATTTTGACATATTTGCTTTAGGGTATTTGTAGTTGATAAAAGAAATGATACACCACTCAAGCCAGTCAGATATGGAAAAATCAAAGGTAGTGACTTTGACACTGATATGGGAAAAGGTGACCTCCTATATACTGCTAATGAGATTATAATGTACTGTGACCACTTTGAGAACTACTTGACTATACTTATTAAGATGAAAATACACATATTCTGTGATCTAACAATTTCTGTGGCTGGGCACATACATAGCCTACATTAGTTTGGAAAGTATTATTAATTACATCCGCACAGTGAGAATTATTGTCAAAGAGATAAGGGAAAGGTTATTTGTGAGAAAAATTACCAACACTTAAAAACAGAGAATAACATTTAGTAATTTTACGCCTAAACCTTTATGTATTTTTGATTACATATCATTTTGATCTTTCCTTCTGTTTTACCCTTACTCCCTAAGACAACAAAACAAAAACTTCATGAGTTTTCATAAGTTTTAGGGGCCATAATTTCAGAAATAGTTATTCCCTCAAAATATTTTTATTATGGAAACTTTCAGACCTGTAAATGAAATCTCATGTACCCATCATACTCCTTCAACAATTACCAACTTAGGGTCAATGTTATTTCCTCTACATTATTTTCAGATCCCAGTGGATTATTTTGAAGCAAGTCTCAGATATCACATAATATCATTTGTAAATATTTCATTTCATTATGTATCTCTAAAATGTAAAAACATGAAAGACCAGAGTATATAGAAAGAGAATACATGTGTTCATAGAGGGAAAGACTCAATACTCAATATTATAAAGATGACACTTCTTCCAAAGTAACCTATAAATTTAATATAATTCCAAACAGAATTCAGGATGGTTTTTCAAGACACTTGACAAAATATTGGCTCTAAAATTCATTTGAGAGAGTAAATATAAATGAATAGCTAAGATAGTTTTGAAGATGAACAAAACAAAAGCATTCTTCCTAACATATGTCAAGTTTAGTTAAACTAATGTAATTAAAACAGTGTAGTTATAGGAGGAAGTCTAGATCAACAGAGAGATTAAAAAGTTCGGGTCTAGATTTATTTGTGAACTCACGTATGATTAAGTAGCCCTCTCCTATCAATGGAGAAAGGACAAACTATCCAATAAATGGCTTTGGGACTGTTGATTCACAATATGGGAGAAAAAGTTAGAATTTTACTCCATGCTATATACCAAAATAAATTCCGGGCGGATTTTAATCTCAGCAACAGTAATGAGACCCTAAAGTATTTGGGTGGGTGCAAGGGCCTGTGCCTGTATTCCCAGCTACTCAGAAGGATCGCTTGAGCCCAGGTGTTTGAGGCCAGCCTCGGCAACATAGTGAAATAGGGTGTCTCTAAAAAAAATTAAAAAGTATTTGAAAAAAAAATAGGAGACTTTATGTCTTCAAGTGAGGTAGCCCTTCCTTACAAGACACAAAAATCGGAAGTCATAAATCATTAAGGAAAAAACAAATATGAGTACATCAAAATGAAAAACTAGGCTGGGCACGGTAGCTTATGCTTGTAATCCCAGCACTTTGGGAGGTCTGAGGCAGGTGGATCCCTTGAGGTCAAGAGTTTGAAACCAGCCTGGCCAATGTGGTGACCCCATCTGTACTGAAAATACAAACAATTAGCTGGTGTGGTGGTGGGCGCCTGTAATCCCAGCTATTCGAGAGGCTGAAGCATGAGAATCACTTGCAACCAGGCAGTGGAAGTTGCAGTGAGCTGAAATAGCGCCATTGCACTCCAGCCTGGGTGACAGAGTGAGACTCTGTCACAAAATAATAATAATAAAAATAAATAAGTAAATAAAAATAAAATGTCCAATTAAAACTAAAAACTAGAGTGTTCAAGAGGCACAATAAAGTTAGTGTTTGAAATGCACATAACAAAAATAAGTATTGCATATACAGTCGTGTCACTTAGCAACAGGGATGCTTTCTGAGAAATGCGAAATTAGGTGATTTCATCATTGTACAAACATCATAGAGTGTACTTAGACAAACCTAGATGGTGTAACCTATTACACACCTAGGCTATATGATAAAGCCTATTGCTCCTAGGCTGTAGACCTGTACAGCATATTACTGTAGTGAAGACTGTAGGCAATTGGAATACAATAGTAAGTATTTGTGTATCTAAACATAGAAAAGGTACAGTAAAAATAGAGTATACAAGTTTGTTTGTTTTTTTTTTTTTTTTGGGACAGTGTCTGTCTGTGTCACCCAGGCGGGGGTACAGTGGCACGATCTCAGGTCACTGCAACCTCCACCTCCCAGGCTCAAGCAATTCTCCCACCTCAGCCTCCTGAGGTGGCTGGAATTATAGGCATGCATTACCGTGCCCAGCTAATTTTTGTATTTTTTTGTAGAGATGGGGCTTCACCATGTTGTCCAGGCTGGTCTTGAACTCCTGGGCTCAAGTGGTCCACCCACCTTGGCTTCCCAAAGTGCTAGAGTTACAGATGTGAGCCACCATGCCTGGCTAGTATAAAGGATTTTAAAAATTATACACTTATCATATATGGAGTTAGCAGGACTGAAAGTTGCTCTGAGTTACTCAGTGAGTGATGAGTGAATGAGAAGGCCTAGGATATTACTGTATACTACTGTAGACTTTATAAACACTGTACACATAGGCTACACTAAATTTATTGTAAAAATAAAGTAATTGTGCTATGGTATTACAATGACTATGACATCACTAGGCAACAGGAATTTTTCAGCTCCATTATAACCTATGGAAACCATTGTCATATATGCAGACTATCATTGACTGAAATTTCATGTGGTGCGTGACTGTATATGTAAACAGTTTAACAATTTTTACAAATAATAATAATATTTAAAACCCAGAAGAAAAATGTACAAAAGAAACAAAGACGTTTCATTATTTATAGAAATAAACATATATGAAAACATCAGGAAAATGCAAAACAAGGGAAAATACTATTTTTACTCATCAATATCAAATATTGGTGAGCTTTTAGGGAAATGAACACACACAAATCGATGCAGTCAATCTGAAGAGCAGTTTAGCAATATTTTAAATTATCTATGAAAAATCAATTTTACTTGGGGCTGTGTATCCTAGAGAAGGACAGGGGTGTTACCGCAAGGTATTTTGTAAGAGTAACAAATTAAATAATCTAAATGTCCATTATTAGAGGGATGGCTAAATAAAATATTATGTATTATTTTTTGTTGGAAGTTGCTGAGTTTTGAGTGATGAGTGAATGTGAAAGCAGAGAGCATTAAAATATCATGTATTCTTCAAAGGAATATACTAAACAGATTTTTATTTCTGAGTGCTTGACTCTGCCACTAGTATGTCTAATAGTCCTCTTGTCAGAGGTGTTTGAACCAGAGCAACTCCATCTTGAGTAGGGGCTGTGTAAAATAAGGCTGAGACCTACTGGGCTGCATTCCCAAATGATTAAAGCATTCTAAGTCACAGATTGAGATACGAAGTCGGCACAAGATACAAGTTATAAAGACCTTCCTGATACAAACAGGTTGCAGTAAAGAAGATGGCTAAAACACACCGAAATCAAGATGGCAACAAGAGTGACCTCTTGTCCTCAACTGCTACACTTTCACCAGTGCCATGACAGTTTACAAATTTCATGGCAACGTCAGAAAGTTACCTTATATGGTCTAAAAGGGGAGACATGAATTATCGACCCCTTGTTTAGCATATAATCAAGAAATAAACATAAAAATGGGCAACCAGCAGCTGTCAAGGCTGCTCTGTCTATAGAGTAGCCATTATTTTATTCCTCTACTTTCTTTTTTATTTTTTTTGAGACTGAGTCTCACTCTATCACCAGGCTGGAATGCTGTGACATGATCTCAGCTCACTGCAACCTCCGACTCCCTGGTTCAAGCGATTCTCCTGCCTCAGCCTCCCGGGTAGGTGGGATTACAGGCATGAACCACCACACCCAGCTAATTTTTGTATTTTTAGTAGAGATGGGGTTTCACCACGTTGGGCAGAATCGTCTTGATCTCCTGACCTCGTGATCCACCCACCTTGGCCTCCCAAAGTGCTGGGATTACAGATGTGAGCCACCACGCCTGGCCTTATTCCTCTATTTTCTTTTCCTTTATTTTTTTATTTTTTGCTCTGCCGCCCAGGCTGGAGTGCAGTGGCATGATCTCAGCTCACTGCAACCTCTGCCTCCCGGGTTCAAGCCTCTTGAGTAGCTGGGATTACAGGCGCGCACCACCATGCCCAGCTAATTTTTGTATTTTTAGCAGAGATGGGGTTTCACTGTGTTGGTCAGGCTGGTCTTAAACCTCTGACCTTGTGATCCACCCGCCTCAGCCTCCCAAAGTGCTCGGATTACAGGCATGAGCCACCAAGCCCGGCCTTATTCCTCTACTTTCTTAATAGGTTTGCTTTCACTTTAGTCTATGGACTTACCCTGAAATCTTTCTTGGTGCGAGATCCAAAAACCCTCTCTTGGGGGCTGGATCGGGACCCCTTTTCTGTAACACTCTCAAACTGAACTGTGGATTTTCCTAAAAATAAATACTTCTTCATAGCCTTTACCATCTCATTATTGATAGCAGCCTCCATCCTTCCCATCACTCAGATCAGAAGCCTTGGGGTCGTCCGTGGCTCTTCTTTTTCTCTCATATTCCGCACCCACTCAGTCAGGAAATCTTTTGTGTCTAAATTTAAATACATATCCCCTGACTACTTCTTTTTACCCTGGTCCTAGCCACTATCACCTCAACCCTACTCCTGGGTTACTACATAACCTCCTAATGTGTCATCTATTTTTACCTTTGTCCCTTGGAGAATTCCAACATAGTATCCAGAGTGCTTCTTTTTTTTTTTTTTTTTTTTTCTTCAGACATAGACTCTGTAGCCCAGAATGGAGTGTAGTTGCATGATCTCGGCTCACTGCAACCTCCACCTCCTGGGTCCCAGTTCAAGTGCTTCTTCTGCCTCAGCCTCCAGAGTAGCTGGGATTACAGGCACACGCCTCTGTCCCCAGCTAATTTTTGTATTTTAAGTAGAGATGGGGTTTCACCATGTTGGTCAGGCTGGTCTTGAACTCCTGACTTTGTGATCCACCCACCTCGGCCTCCCACAGTGCTAGGTTTACAGGCATGAGCCACCACGCCCAGCTGGGTGCTCCTTTTAAAAGTCAAGTCGTGTCAGTGCTAGGCTCAGAATTCCATCATGGTTTCCCATCTAAAAGCCCCAGAAGTCTTACAATGGTATGTAAGGCCCTATTTGACCTCTTCCTTCTACTTCTTAGTCATTCCCCTGTGTCTATACTGGCTTTCCTGCTGTTACTGAACATCCCAAACGTATTTCTACCTCATGTTCCTACTGAATGTTTCCTCTTCCACGAAGAGTCTTCCCTTGAAAATCTGTGTGAGATCACCCTCACTCTCCCTTCAGGCCTGCTCAGATGTCTCCCTTCTACCCTGTTCCTCTCAGTCTAATATGCATAAGTGGATTTGGGATGATTTTCTAATGATATTTCTTGTAGTTGAGAGTTACAAAAATGGTATTCAAAGCCCATTCCACAGAGATAATGTCACACTGTAGATACCAGAATTAAGCTCTGAAAACCACATAGTAGAGCTGTGTATTTTGTTGCATATTAACATCTCTGAAATTGGGAGATATCTTAAAATCAGTGTAATAATGCATTGGTTATAATTTAAGTGGGCATTTGACAGGCAGCACTTCAAACAAACAAGTCTAAACAATGAATGCTGTTCCTTTCCCTGCCCCACAAAAAAAGCCAGGCAACGTAGTGGCTGCCATGTGGTTAGAGTTCAACTGTTGACAGTGGGTGCCTCTAGGGTGGGACTCGTACTTTGCATTGTACCATTTGAGTGTTTTTTTTACAATGTACATGTATTCTTCAATTAAAAATAATTAATTGAAAAAAGAAATTGCCCACAGAATTTAGGATTTTGGTTTAATGACTATTTGAATAATTGCAACAAAAGCATTTTCATCTGGTAGGTATAAAAATTTGATAAGCTCACATTTAAAATGCATACTATTTAATAAGATACTAAATAGATTTTTCCCTTTTAAATCAAGGATTTTGAAATACTCAAATTACATAGTCTAGATTTTCATATTCTAGTGTTTTATCCATAATTTAAAACTGAGCTTTAAGACATTTTAATTTACATAATTCTTTTTTGACATAAAAGTTAGAACAAAGTAAAATAAAATTAATATAGTAAAAATCAGTTAATCAGCATATTGGGAACCAAGTTTTAGGTCAACTTTTTGTAATAACTGTGAGTAACTCTAAGGTATACATCCTTGGGTACAATAATGATATACGTTCAGGGCTTTGTCACCCTTAGCCCAGCCCCAAAATTACTCATCTAATGATAATATTGCCTTTAGGGATTTTTGAGCTAATAGTTGCATTTTTTCCTCTAGCAGAAGGAAACAGAATCCTATCTTTAGTTTTTCTTATGCTAGGACTTTTCTTTCTCGTTTCTTATAATTATTAATAATTTCATCCTTCACTAATAATTTTTTTCTTCTTGTCTGCTTTTCTTACCATTGCTTGTCTTCTATTGCTTTGCATCCATATCCTGCTTTTCCATAGAAAAGTCTATGTTTTTTGCCATCAGTCACTGTTCAGAGCTTCCAGTTGGAAAAATGGAAAATTACATATTAAATTTAATCAACTTTTTAGTTCTGCTTTGCTGTTGTTATTAATGTTCACCACCTAAAAGTTTGTATTTTCTATACCAGCAGGTTTCCTCCCTTTCCTTTAAAAAAAAATTAATAAAACTTTTCAGGCTGGGTATGGTGACTCATGCCTGTAATCCCATCACCTTGGGAGGCCAAGGTGAGAGGATCACTTTAGGTCAGGGGTTCGAGATCAGTCTGGCCAACATGGTGAAACCCCATCTCTACTGAAAAAAAAAAATTAGCTAAACATGGTGGTGTGTGCCTCTAATCCCAGCTGCTTGGGAGGTCAGCAAGAGGATCGCTTGAACCCATGAGGCAGAGGTTGCAGAGTTTCAGTGAGCCAAGATCGTGCCACTGCACTCCAACCTGGGTGACAGAGTGATACTCTATCTCAAAAAAAAAAAAAGTTGGATGCCATTCAGGATGGAGACATAAAATATAAGTGGTCGTAATGAGGTTTGGCTATATTGTGAATCAAATTCTGTATCTCTGTAATGATGTTGAAGAATCAGGTGAATCATCATTATAAATAAGGTAAAAATTTCATTCTCTAATTAAAAGATATGGCTAATTTAAGATATTTATCAAAACTATACATGAAAGAAATTTGAATTTTTTATGTTACCATAAGAAGTCAGGATTCTCCAGATAAATCAAATTAATAGAATATATAGATGGTCCCTGACTTACAATCATTCAACTTTATGATTTTTTTTATTTTATGATGGTATGAAAGCAATAGACATTCAGTAGATACCACAATTTGAATCTTGAATTTTGATCTTTTCCCAGGCTAGTGATATGTGGTACAATGCTCTCTTGAGACACTGGGCAGTAGCAGTAAGCTGCAGCTCCCAGTCAGCCACATGTTCGTGAGGGTAAACAACCAATACTCCACAGTGTACCAGTGCTTTTTGGATATTGTGTTATGTGTTTTCACATCCCATCATCTCTACAAAATGCCCATCTGTGTGCAGTGTTAAACACTTTATTATAGAATAGGCTTTGTGTTAGATAATTGCTCAACTGTAGGCTAATGTAAATGGTCTCAGCACATTTAAGATATGCTAGGCTAAGCTTTGATGTTCAGTAGGTTAGGTGTATTAAATGCATTTTCAACTTATAATGGGTTTATCACACTGTAACCCCATTGTAAGTCAAGGATCATCTGTATAAAGATATATAGAAAGAGATTTATCATGAGAAATTGGGTCATGTGATTATGGATGCTGAGAAGTCCCACAGTCTGCTCTCTGTAAGCTGGAGGCCTGGAAAAGCCAGTGATGTCATTCTAGTCCAAGCCTTGAAGGTCTGAAAACCAAGGGAGCCAATGTTGTCAGTTCTAGTCTGAGTCTGAAAGCCCAAGAACTGGGGAGCTGATGGTGTAAGTCCTGGTCCAAGTCAAAAGGAGAATTGGGGTACTGTGTAAGTCCCAGTCTCAGTCTGAAAGCCCACCAACCAGGAGTGCTGATATTGAAGGCGAGGAGAAGATGGATGGCCCAGCTCAAGTAGAAAGAGTAAATTTGCCCTTCCTCCACCTTTTTGTTCTCTTTGGGCCCTCAATGGATTAAATGATGCCTTGCCACATGGGGGGTAGGCAGCATGCACTTTATTCAGTTCATCAGTTCAAATGCTAATCTTTTGCAGAAACACCCACACAGACACACTCAGAAATAACATTTTACCAGCTATGTGAGCATCGCTTAGCCCAGTCAAGACTTAACCCAGATGTCAAAAATTAACCTATACACACAGAACTAAAATAGTAACAGATAAAGCTAATTTACTGGGATATTATCAATAGATGAATGTGGACATAATATGATTTTGAAAATGTTATAATTTGGTAAGTAACTGGAAATAAGTATTGGAAATAAAGAATTCTCTCCCCACCTCCTTGACTCTTTGGGGGTTGACCATGTCTTTTTCACTTTCAGTTCTCCTTAAGACCTAGCAAAGTGCCATTGTTATTCCAAAAATACCTCTTACTTTCTAATTTAGTTTTGTTGGAAATATTATGCCCCCAAACACAAAAATTCCTAGGCATTTAATTTTAATTGAATAATGTTTAAACATAATTCTCACTGATAATTGCTGTTT